GAAACTTTTGAGGTTGAGGCTTCTTCCTCACTGGACATGTTATGATTCTCAGGAGGAGAATGGGTAAGATAGTCATTTGACAAAGGAATTTCTCTAGTGGCATAGCTGTTATTGAGAGCAGTATAATCAAAACTAATCTCAGCTTTAACCCTATTTTTCCTTTTCTCCTCTTCTTCCTCAATAGTTTCAGAAGCACTAGTGAATTTCATGAGTTTGGTTAACCCTAATTTCATGTATCTTATGTCGTAAAGCTGAATGCAATCGACCTTTTTCAAATTTTCAGGATTTCGAAAGCCTAATCCTTCTCTAGGGTTGTAAAACTGAGTATCCTTGATTTTACTATTCAAAAGATGAATTGTCTGTTCGGTTTGACCATTTTTTGCTAAGATATCTTCTAACTCTTTTATCTTAGAGTAAAGTTGACCTCGTTCTTTGTTAATCAGATCATAGCGAATAACAACTTCAGAACATTGTCGTTTATTCTCATCACGTTCCTTAGTTAAGTCACTAATAGTTTGCTTAAGCTTAGTTACTTCTGACTCTAACTGAGAAACTCTATCACGTGAATCTTTTAAGCGTGCAGTTTCAAATGCTCCTTCCAACACTTGTTTTTCCAGAACTTTTTGATTATTAGCAAGTCTGTCTTCAAGTTCCTTTATTTTGTTTTTCTCTCTTTTAAGAGAAGTGATTAACTCTTTCATCTTGTCATTTTGTTGAGAAATTAATGATTTTAAGTTACTTACCTCATTCTCAGCAGATGTAGAGCCATTGTCTTCTTCTTCTTCAGATTCATCACTTTCAGTTCCAGATCCAGTTACCCTTGCCATCAGTGCCAAATTCTCTGGCTCACTATCTTCAGAATCTTCGAGCCAGCTATCATGTTCAGCCATCAGGACAACTCCTTGCTCCTTTTGTTTAGCAAGTTGAGCCTTGTGCATATAATAATTGAAGTCCTTCTTCTTGGCAGATCGGCATTCTTTAGAAAAGTGTCCTGGCTTTCCACATTTAAAACACTTCATTGAGTCACTGCTGACAGCCTTATCAGATGGTCTGCTGACTCTTTCAGAGTAGTTTGAGGAAGAAGTTCTTTGTTTGTTGTTTGTTGCAGGATTTCTGAATTTGGTGAACTTCTTGTTTATTTTCCTCGTCATGTTTGTCAGCAAAGCCAGCTCTTTCTTTAGATCATTGATCTCTGGGTCAGAATCAGACATATTCTTCTCTTCATCGGATGAGTCATCTTCAAAGGTAATTTTAGGAGCCTTATCTTTCTTCTTTTTCTCAGATGTAAGGAGAGCAAGTGTGTCAACAATGTTCTTTCCTTTTGAAGAATTGACTTTTTCACGAATATCCTCAGAGAATTCACCTAGGCAGTCATAGAGGTTATGGTTGGTCAGCTCATCTAGGTCTTTGTTTTGTCTGATTCGTTTGGCTGTTTTCTTCCATTCGGGCTTCTGAGACCTTAGGAAGCGAAGGTGAACTTCCATATTGGTTTTGCGGATATTGATTTTCTTCATCTCGTTAAGGACCATGAGAAACCGTTGATAGGTGTCTTCCAGCTCTTTATCAGGTCTGGCAGCAAAGGAGTCATAAGTGGTCAGGGTGTGTGCTCGTTTGGACATAATTCCAACATCAGTGCCTTGCATAATTTGATGAATTTCATCCCACAAATCCTTAGCAGTGGTAAGGCTATCAATTTGCATAAACAAGTCATTGAGAATGGCTTGTAGCAGATAAGTGGCAGCAAGTAGATCAGCCTTTGCTCTCAGCTTCTCGGGTTCAGTGTAATCATCTTCAGATTTCAGTGCTTTACCTGCTGGTGTGGGAGGATTATTTGTGTCAACAGCTGGAACATCAACCCAAACTTCAAGTGGTCCTTTATTAAGAGAGTCAAGAATATTCTTTCCGTTGTCTCGGCTTCGAATGAAATTGAGGAAACGGACTTTCCAGACAGCAAATTCTCCTCTCCTAAGCAGAGGAGGTCTTGAATCACTTCCAAGTGTGTAAGCTTCCATGACTGTTGTTTGATCTTAAGGCGAGAACTGTTCTGATAAAATTAAAACTTCGGTACAGCTTTAAGAAGATCTCGGAAGAAGATTTAGGATGTCCGAATTTAGAAACTCGGATAATGAATTCGGTTGTCTGAAATTATAATTTCGGGTGACCTGTTTCCGGGTGTCCGAAATTGTGATTTCGGATATTCTAATTTCGGATGTCCGAGATTGTAAATTCGGAAGAGAGATTTTGGGTTTCCGAATTTAGAAACTCGGATGCAATTTCGGATGACCTGATAATTTCAAGATTTCGGAGCAGCTAAAGATTTCGGATATGCGAAATCTTAAGGATTTCGGATATGCGAGATTATGGTAACTCAAATCTCACTGGGATACTTCTTCCGTAGCTTTCCAAGTTCCAGTTGCCTTATAAAACAGTAAGTTTCCAAGAACAAATCTAACAATTAATATGACCAAAAATTATGATTTTGATCAAATTAATTCCAGAAAAATTCAAGGAATCTCAAGAACAGAATTGCGCCGAGGCTCTGATACCAATTGTGTGAGATATGCCCAGATACAACAGTCGAATAATCTAAGAATATTGATAAGAATTTAAACAGTAGAAGAGAAATTCAACATCAACTTATACCGTGTATTCATAATGATGATTCGATGAAGAACAATACATGGTACTCGAAAAGGCTAGAGAGAGAATTCTAATCTACTCGCTCTACATAGAATAATATTCAGAATAGAATGTGTAGAGACTTGTCTTTTAGATTCGGCCATCTCAACCTATATTTATAGGAGAGATATCCGAACTGCCTAATACAATTAGGAAACAATATGGGTCGTGCGTGTGGGCTATGTAGAGCATTGAAATCAGACCTAATTCTCCCTCAGCTAATCTAATTAAATACAAAGACTCATTAATTAAATTACAATTAATTTGAACACAATAAAATAATATTCTAACACTGCTCTAATCTGTAAAATTTGTCCGTAGGTTTATGCAAACACAATTTTTCTTAAAATATTGCTAAAATGAAATTTATAAAGATAAATAAATAACGTTGGGTGATGAATGAGGTGCGGCTGAGAGGTTGTATCGAGGCTGGATACTGAAGACTTGGTTGACCATTCCGATGGTGGTGGAGTTGGTATTCACCCATATTGCAAGAACTCATTCCCTCCGGAACCACCTCCATACCAGAAAGAACTTTGTGAAAATATTTTATTTTAGTATTATTTTCTCTTTAGTTGCAATTGTTTCTGTTTTATTCCGAGTAGGTTTGGTTTGAATGTTTGAATTTTTGGAGTTCTTTTGATAGACACAGTTTCGGTTCCGATCATTTTAAGCCTAAATTTGCCCGTTTCAGATTTAGCGAGTTATATTGCTTTGTATGAGGTGACTGACTCTAAGTCTACTTCTAGCGTTCACATTTGGATCTGTAAATTCTGTTTGAAGATTGTTTTGTATGTGTTCTCGATTTTAATATAACGGCCATTCTTTTATGATAAAAAAGATGAATATGATTAAAGTAATTATAGAAATTACTTTGTGATCACTTCAATGTAAAGTAAAATGTAATATTGGTCTTTAAAAGTTACTAATATAATAACTTTGTAAAACGTGTCATATTTTAACTACCATAATTAGTTATTTCATAAATGGAGTATATGATTATTTCATGCATAAAGATCTAAACTAATGTATTTATGATTGAGATTAAAAGTCCTCTTGCTAACCCCTATTTTTAATTTATAATTCTTATAAGTAAATTTTTTATCAAATATGAACGTAATTTTTGACTTAACACGCTAAATTATACTTCATCCGTATTTTAAAGTTTCTTACATTAGGTTTGGGCACACAATTTAAGATGAAATAGTAGGGGTAGAGTAAAGTGTTAAAGTAGGAAAGAGAAGATAAACGATAAAGTAGAATATAAAGGATAAAGTAGGTGGGAGAATGTAATTAAAATAATAGTGAGATAGGATATAATTGAATGAAGGTAAAAAGATAAGGGTAATAATGTATTTTCATAGATAAAACTTTTCTTAATGGAAAGTGTAGAAAACTTTTAAATAACACCCAAAAAGGAAAGTGTATGCAACTTTTAAATACCGAGGGAGTAAAAGTCAATATAAGTAAGTTGTGAGTTACTTTTCTGACTGAATTGATTGATGTTATTGTAGAAGACTATTTTAGCTATTTTCGTGTAATTTTTTCTTAATTTTATTAATAAAATATATTTTAATTTATTTTTTTCATAATTTTGTAGATTCAACCAATTTAGTCATTTTATTTTAGTCAAAGTTTCATAAAATTTAGTAGATTCGACAAATTCAACCAAATTAAATTTTACTAAATCTATTTTCAGACCCAAACCAAATTGAGTCAAATTAAGGCTATGTTTAGCAACAACATTCAGCTCATAAAGGGCTGGAATTTCTTTAATTCAGCTGTAGTATTAATTAAATAAGTAGACCTGTTTGGATGTGAAACTAGATCAGGCTGAAGTTGGAAATAATAGACTGAATAGAAACGTTACTCAACGAAGCGTTTACATTCAATAGACGGCGCAATAACCCTCTATGACTGAACTATCCCCGTAAGAGGAGAAATTTGATCTAAAAACGAACTTCAACTCAAATACAACTCTATTTACAAATTGGCCGAATTTGCTAATTAAAATCATCTTCTCCAACATTTTATTGGCTAGCTGCCGTTAAATGCTTAAAGAGCATGGGTTAGACTTGTTGGAAAAAATGATCCATTCATCTTTTGCCGCATGTTCTTTTCTTGAGTTTAATGTTCTTTTCCAAAATGCAAGTTTGAAATTAATAATACCAACAAACAAATATATACCACCATCGTAGCATTTATAAAATATTCACATACATACTACCATCCATCGTAATATATATTTATTAAAATATAAATAATTGTAATATTATAAAAACTATATCCGTTTAATATATTACACCATCTTTATATATATATAACAATGGAATCAGCTGGGAAAACTTGTTCCTGCCTGATTCCATTGCGGCAAATGCTGCGCACTAACTTCACGACTCATCCACCAATCCACCCAACCACGTGGCAACTCCTTAATGCCATTCGAAATGCAATAGTAGATCAGTTACATCTCAACCTGCACGTCCTTGAGAAGACAGTTTTTCAATGCAGCTTCAACCCACTCAAATCATTATTTATATGCTGCGACAAAGGAATTCAAGTAATCAAAACTCACGAGTTAGCATAGCAGTATATTTCTACATATTCACCTTTCAACAACAAGCATGGTCAAAGTCTAAACAATTTCGGATCCATTGTTTATTAACCAGAGGTATTTTTAAAATAATTATCTATAGAAGTTTCTTATAATGACAGTGGAATCCATCTTATATTTGTTTTCTTTTTATATATCAAGAGTGACTCGACCCACAGAACTATTCGTAAGGAATGCGCAACCGAATTTAGGGACAGACAGAGAGGGAAGTTTGTACATTCTAAGAAATTTCATTGTTACTCCTAACACACTGCTTTTTAATCATACGGAGTAATAATTTCCCTAACTGTTTGATTCCAAGGTGGATTGATTCTAGATAGCCGGGGATATGTTTGATATCGAAACAGGAGCAGATTGGTACAACTCGGTGTGCAAGGAGTTTTTGATTTTTTTTGAAGATTTGATTGTCCCAGTACAGGTTGTAAACAAAATGATAATGCAATATTAGATATGATCCTATTCTGTTCCAAAGCTGTGTATAAGGAACATTGAAAAAATATGAGAAAATTAATTATATATATACCAATACAAAGTTAAGATCAGAATAATGGAACATTCAGGAGATACTGCATTTTTACTTAGGAATATCACATGCTTTGTGCTATTTGAAAAAAAACTATTGATATGCTTATCGATGTGGTATGGTATTTACAAAGAAATTGTTGAGCAGTTTATTTAAAGCAGATTGCTTAAAATTTTATATTGATAAAAAACTCTTAACATGTACACCGAAAAAGTTGTTCAGCCTCTTAGGCATGAAAGTCGAGTGTTAGGTTCAAGTTCAAAATCATAGACCAATAAGAGTAGACTTTGCCTTTTGTGTTTTGAAGCTTATAAAGGCTGGTATCATTTTAAAGCATATGGGGGAGAATTGGAGAAGTCAGGTTCTGAGAAATTTGATATTGAAATACTATCTTTATTAATAGTAATTTCTGGAACAGATTGAGTCTTAGTGAAGGTTTAAAGAAAGTGGTGTAAATTGTTGGGGCAAATGAACCCCACGTGATAGGCATGGAAGTTAAGGCTATACCACTTCAGGCAAGAAAAAAAAGGAAAAGAGCACCAATGGCTGAACATGAAGATTCATTCAGAATGAGCAAGACACCTATATTAGTTTGACAGAAATAGAAGATTTTGTTTGACAACAAGAAAAGAATTTAAGGAGATAGTCATTCAAAAACAATTAGTTTGACAACAAGAAAAGACTTAAGGAGAAACAGATTGCCAGGATATACTCCGTATTAGTTTCCTGATGTTAGTTTAATATTGGTTTTAAACAATTAATATATAGATCATAAAAAATTAATTATACTTTAAAGAATGTAATTACTAATTAGTATATAATTCAGATTGCAAACAGATTACCTTAAAACTTTGAGTTTAATGACTCAAATAGGACTAATAGCAAAGTTAATTACACAATTAGGACCACAACTTTCATAGGACCAATTTCAATATAGTTGGACAAAAATACCCCTCTTTTATTTTTTAAAATTATAAAACTGTAAAATAAAAATTATTGAAACCCTAGCAGTAGCACTGCCGCCACAAGAGCCAAACCGCCTGTTGTCACCCCTCGCCGATGCAACCTGCCGCCACCCCTCGCTGACGCAACCTGCCGCCACCCCTCGCCGGCGAAACCTGCCACCACCCTCTCCGGTGACGGCACCCCCTGTCGCCGCCCTCACCGTCTACCGTTTGCCACCGCATCCTTACCGACGCACCATCGCCATCCATCGCCGCCCCTTGCCGCCTCCCACACCAGCGTCACCATCCACCCAAGCCACCATCCTCTGAGCACCGCCACGACAGTGACAACTCAAGCGGAATAATTTGCCATTAACTTGGCAGATTTAGCATTGGGGATTAGATTCACTTCTGCCATGAACAAATATTTCAGATCTGCCAAAAAAGTTGGCAGATTCAATTTGGCATAATAACACAAAACTGCCAAAAAATTGGCAAAAATAAAAAAAACATGAAGTAAATAACCAAATATTCAAACAACTAAAATTTTTAATGGAACACGCATATTAACACAATCATAAATTAGAAAAACGAAGGTATTGACAAAAAACAGAAAAACCAATTTATACAAACGCATTTCTTCCATAATGATTGTAAATGTGCACATTTTTGCCATAAACTTGGCCAAATCTGAAGCAATAATCCAAAAATTTATGAAAATCGAATTTTTTTAACTCTGAAATTAAAAATCAGAACATCGAAATAGAAGTTTGAAAAACAAGAACATCGAAATTTGGCAAAACAGATGTCCAAAAATTGGAAAATTCAATTCAACATCCAGAAAAACAGAGGAAAATCGAAGAAGAAAAGAAGAAGAAGAAGAAGAGGAAGAGGAAGAGGAAGAGGAAGAGGAAGGAGGAGGAGAAGAACCTTAATGGCAGCGGCAAAATCGGCGGCGTGAGAGGAACTCGATCGATCTGGTGCGCAGGGTGAAGTCGACGGCGGCGGCGATGGCCTGGGTGAAGCCGATCCATGATGTGCATGGAAGAAAGAGAAGACATGCACAGGGGAGAAGGGGAAACGGTTGTGCGCAGGGGAGGGGAGATGTGCGTAAAGGGATAAGGGGGGTAATAATGGAATGAAATATACAGATGTTTTAAAATAGGAGTAAATCAATCCTATTTGGGGGGAAACATACATAGTCCTATTTGAGAATTTGTCTTCTCATTTAGTCCTATATGGGGCAATTACTTTAAAACTTTTAGGCAAAATTAAACGTAAGTTTACTTACTAGATGTTTGAAATAATCGTACACAGTCAACGTCGTTCTTTAAGCTTTATCCCTTAGTTGAGCAGCGCGGCCAACCTCACCAAAATACAATTTAGTCATACACGTGAAAGGAATTTAGGATAACAGAATACATTCAAAAATTCAACAAGGAAATTGATATTGATATTCAATAAACAAAAAACTTGAAATAAGCGTCCACAGTCAACCGTTCTTTTGGCTTTCTTCCATTAGCAGATTGGCTGGCCTCTGCAAAATACAATTGAGTCATATTAATGAAAACAAATGAGGAGAACAAACAATATTCAATAAAATACAACGAAATTGATATTCATATTCATTAATCAATCAACTTGATGAACTATAAATATCGGTGTAGCGGGGGTGTGGTACCTCTGCATACGAGGATTTTGTTGGAGAGACGATGAGTTGGACACGATGAGACGGAGACAAGGAGGTGTGTACGTCGGAAGCGCTGATAGAAGTCTGGAGACAGCTAAATAAGTGGTAATGGCGAGGTGGAAATGGAGAATGGTGATGGGAGGCGGAGAGATGGGGGCTTTGTGGAGAGGTAGATCGGCGTCGATATGCAGAGGTTTGAACTGAAGCGGACGGAAGCTTCTGGAGCTGAGCTGAACAATATACCGTAAGATACAGTACCTTCTTTCTTAAATAAATATTAAATTTTACACTACTCACATGTTCCACTTTGATTAATACATTAATAATTTATTAATGCATTAATAATTTATTTTGAAAAATATTGTTAGATTTTGTACTCCAAGGACTAAAAAAATTGATAAGCAACGCTAACCGCACACCAAATAGTTCAACAATCAGTAGTGTATCTAGAGATTTCTCAAATATGCAGTTTCAATATTATGTTTTAATGTGTTTTTATATAACATGTTTTAATGTGTTTTTATATAACATTGATGGAGTATATGGGCCTGAGCTCCAGGACCCACATACTCGGAAGAACAGAGCACAAGACAACAGAGTGGCGCCCTCGTCGGCCAAGACGCCCCCGTCGGCCGAAAAGGGGCCAACTCAGATTACGGTCCTGAACCCAAGGAACTCGGGTGCCCTCGTCGGCCGTGCCCTCGTCGGCCACGCCCTCGTCGGCCACGAAGACCTCCCAGAAACGGATTCTATACTTACTCATTTGTACAGCCCATTAGAGGCTTTGTATTCGGCCCAGTAGCGGTCCAGTTGTAAATGGGCCTCCCAAGCCCAAGGCTGGGGAGCCCAACCCTAATTTTCTCTATAAATACTCCCCTTGGGAGTAGTTATAGGGGTTACAAAATCATTCTATTGAAGCACATATTGCACTTCTCTCTCTAGCTCTCACTTCTCTCTAGATATACTCTATCATTTGGTGCTTTCATTGAGAGCTAGAACAATCAAGTTAGCACCCTTCGTCGCTACCAAGCACAGCTAACCACTGATCATGGGGAGAACTAAGTCAAACCGCAACCTCGTCAGCAAAGTCATCCCTGAGGACCAAGAGCCCAGAGAGCACGATGAGGACGCCACGGCCGACCAGGTCGGCGGAGGGGACCTCTTCCAGGAGGCCTTCAACCTCACGACGGACCTCCGCAACCAACTCAACGGCGGAGTCCCCGACGCTCGCCTCGGCCTGGAAAAGAAACGAGCTGAGAAAGCGGACCACGCCCCGGCCCAGCCTATGGCCGCGGCCTCTCCGTCCGTAGATCCTCAGGTCCAGGCCGCACTATCGGCTATCATCGCCAGCTTGGCTCAGAATCCCACCGTCCTCAGCGCACTCTTGCCAAGGACCGGGGGAAACGTCACTCCACCTCCTCATCCCCAACCGTTGGCCGTCCAGATAGGCAACAATGAGGGGGTTGTGGCCCAGGACACGGCGTCGTCCCACTCCCACCCTGCTTCCCCTCTTCGGCCCGGGCAGACCCCAGCGCGTGGAAAAGCCTCTGCCTTCAATAGGCTAGGTGACACGCGTCGTCGTCCGGTTTCGGAGAGGATGGCGGGACGGATTGGTGATCCTCGTTCTGGCTCGCCGAGGGAGAGTTTGGGGTCTGTGTCCCGGACAGCGGACCAGCCCCGCCCGGACAAGGGCAAGGGGAAGTGGCACGAGGATGACGTGCGTCACCAGATCAACGCGGCTCACAACGAGCGCCTGAGGAACCAGCCGGGTGCCGCCGCGGCTGACAGGGACACCCGGGACGAGGTCATCGCCCAGCTGGAAAGGAGGTTGGCTCAGATGGAGGCCAAGAAGTCGGCCAACATCCCTACGGCCGGCGCCTCCAACGACCCCGGCCTCAACGCGCTCATGAACAAAGTCAACGCCCTGGAGAGGGAGCTGGCCGAGGGGCGGGGTGACCCCATCATCCAGGTCAGGACTAGGACCCCTTTCACCAACAGGGTCCTCTCGGCCCCCATCCCTGAGAAGTACAGGGGGAACGCCATCAAGTCCTACGATGGCCGATCAGACCCCCAGGAGCACTTCAGCCGCTATCAAAACAACATGCTGATGGTGAACGCGTCCGACGAATACCTCTGCCGTTGGTTCCTCTCTACTCTCGAGGGGCCAGCGTACGAGTGGTTCAACGGACTGCCAGAGGGAAGCATTGACTCATGGCAAGATCTCGCCCAGCGCTTCCTCACTCACTTTGCCGGGAGGAAGCGCGCCAAGAAGTATTTCACCCACCTCCTCTCCGTCAAACAGCAGCACGAGGAGTCCCTCCGGTCATTCATCGACCGGTGGACGAGGGAGACCGAGGAGGTCGAGGGGGCCGATGAGCGCACCCTCCTCGCCTGGTACCAGGGAGCCCTCCGCAGCTCCCCGTACGCCAGGAGCCTCATCACTGACCCCCCGAGGTCGTACGCCAGGGCGCTCCAACGCGGAGGCTTGTATGCCGACGCCGACGAGCTCCACAATCACAAGAGAGAGGGGGGCCATCTCCCCAAGAAGACAAATCCTTCGCCGGCCTCGGGTCCGTCCCCGGCCGGCCAGGGTGCCCAGGGCCGCCACGGCTCTGGTGGACAAAGTAAGAAAGACCGCCACTGGCGGCCGAGGCTGGAACGGCCGGGGGTAGCCCTCACCCACCCGGTCGGCACCATCCTCGATTATGCCGAGAAGCACGGCCTCATCGAGCAGGCTCCTCGGCCGGCCGAGGAGATCCTGGCCATCCAGCAGGGCGGCACGTACTGCCGGTTCCACAAGAACTCGTCGCACAACACCGACGATTGCATCACATTGAAGAAGGCCATCGAGCGCCTTATTCGCCAGGGGGAACTCTCCCAGTTTGTCAAAGGTGGCCCACGTAAAAACACTTTGGTAAACACCGGAAAACGTGGGGGCGAACCCTCTGCGAAGAAGCGCGAGATTGGTAGGCTCAGCGACGACGAGGACTTCGAGGAGCCTCCGCCGAAGAAGAATCACATCCACCTCATCGTAGGCGGGAACACTGGGGGGGACTCCGCCACTCAGAGAAAGAAATGGGCCCAATCCCTATACATTGGAGAGGTGTCCCACGTTCCCCCCCAGCCGAAGAAGCAGCGAACGGAGGCGATCACCTTCACCGACAAGGATCTGCCTCCGGGTACGGAGTCACACAGGGACGCCCTCGTCATCCGATGTGAGATCGGTGACTCCATCATCCACCGTACTTACATCGATACGGGGAGCTCCGTCAACGTGATGTACCTAGACACCTTCAAGCAGCTGAAGCTGGACAGAGCTCTGTTGAAGCCGATCAAGACCCCGTTATCCGGCTTCACCGGGGACTCTATCGACGCCGAGGGCACGATAGTCCTCCCCGTGGAAGTCGGTGACGGCCCCCACCATGCCCAAATTGACATGGAGTTCATGGTGGTCAACCTCCAGTGCGCCCACAACCTGATCTTGGGCCGGCCAGCGCTGGAGGACTTGGAGGCCATCATCTCCATGAAGCACTTATGCTTGAAGTTCCCCACCAATGACGGCATCGGCTACGCCAGAGGAAATCAGAGGATAGCCAGAGCTTGCTACCTCAAGCTAACGAGGCCGGCCGAAAGGGAAGGACAGTGGATAGACACCATTACGGCCGCCGTCGCCATGGACGAGGAGAGGCCACATGCGGAGCCGGCCGAGGAGGTCGAGGAAATCCCTCTGGATACCTCCCGACCGGAACGGGTTCTTAGGGTCAGAAAGCAACTCCCCCAGGACCAACGAGACGCCATCCTCCTCGTCCTACGGTCATACGCCGTTGTCTTCGCGTGGGGCCCGGACGATATGCCCGGCATCAGCCGCCAGGTGATCACTCACCGGCTGACCGTCGATCCGGCCTCCGCGCCCGTCAAACAGAAGCGGCGCTACTTGTCCGCTGACAGGCGGGACTTCGTCAAAGGGGAGGTCGCCATGCTCCTATCGATCAAACATATCAAAGAGGTGAAGTACCCAACATGGTTGGCCAACGTCGTCCTCGCACAGAAACCACCGACGTTCAGAATGTGTGTTGACTACACTGACCTGAACAAGGCGTGCCCCATGGACCCGTTCCCTCTCCCCAACATTGATCAGTTGGTGGACGAGACGGCGGGGTGCGAGTTGATGTCGTTCCTCAACGCTTTCAGAGGGTACCACCAGATCTCCATGCACGAAGATGACGCCGAGAAGACGGCATTCATGACCCCAGAGGGAATATTTTGCTACCTCGTCATGGCCTTCAGACTCAAAAACTCCGGCGCCACCTATACTAGGATGGTGGCCAAAATCTTCAGAGCGGTCCTTGGCCGGACGATGGAGGCGTACGTCGACGACATGATCGTCAAGAGCAGGCAGGCCACCTCCCACGCCGACGACCTCCGGGAAATCTTTGAAATCATGAAGGAGTTCAGGCTCCGCCTTAACCCCAAGAAGTGCGCCTTCAGCGTCCAGGGCGGCAAGTTCCTTGGCTACATGGTCAGCCGGAGAGGCATCGAGATAAACCCGGAGAAGACGCAGGCTATCATCAACATGGAGCCGCCCCGCAACGTCAAGGAGGTACAGCGACTGACGGGGCGCCTGGCGGCCTTAAACCGGTTCCTCTCCAGGTCAGCTGAGAGGGCACTCCCCTTCTTCCAGATCATGCGCAAGGCAAACAGCTTCAAGTGGACGACGGAGTGCCAGGAAGCATTCGACGAATTGAAAAGGTACCTGTCGTCCCCACCCGTACTCTCCAAGCCCAAAGCCGGCGAAACCCTCTTCCTGTACTTAGGGGTGAGCACGTCGGCCATCAGCTCCGT